GAAGTATTTAACGAAGTAAAGCAAGATATAAGTAGAATAGGGCTGGGGATTTAGCTCAGTGGCATAAGCGCCTACCTTGCAAGCATGCAGTCGTGAGTTCAATCCCCGGTACTGATAAAAAAAAACGATATAAGTAGAATAGTTAGAGAAATGCTAAGCACTGCCCAAGAAAAACACAGATGGTGGAATGGAAGAACAGAAAAAAGGGGAGAATTGTTTGATGGAGAAAATAGAGAAAACATAGAATACGTGAAGCAGGTTCAAAGAGATTACCAGGAAACTAAAAACTCTATTGAAAGCTGGCATAACAGCTTGAAAGAAACTAAGGATAGATTACCTGAACTGGAGGACAAATTTGTAATGTGGGAGCATGAAATGGAAAACTTCTTAAAAATAACAAGGAAACAAACAGCAATAATACAAAGGCTAACGGATGATAAGAGGATCTATAACTTAAGAATTAAGAATGTAAAAGAAGAAGTAGGGACACAAACAAATGAACTACAAAAGCTACTCAAAGAAATAATCCAGGAGAATTTCCCTAATTTAGCAAAAGGTAAAGATACTCAGATGTATGAGGCATACAGGACCCCAGCCACCTACAACCCAAACAGAGCTACACCCAGGCATATAATAATCAAAATTCCAGAAATCCAATATAAGAACAGAATATTAAAAGCCGTCAGAGACAAGAAACAGATCACTTACAAGGGAACACACCCATCAGAATTATAGCAGACTTCTGGGCACAAACCATCAAATCACAAAGAGTGTGGGGGGAAATAATTCAAGCTTTGAAAGATAATAACCTCCAGCCAAGATTGATATATCCTGCACAACTGTCCCTAAAAATTGATGGAAAGACAAGGTGCTTCCAGGATAAAGAGGAACTAGGGGAATTTGCAACCACCAATTCAACTCTACAGAGAATACTGCAGGATATTCTAAAAAAGAAAAATACCAAGATTCCAGAAACAGTGGCAGAGAAGCCACAATGAATGGAGCAGAAAGTGAAATAAAGAAGACAAACTGACAACTAATGACAGAAAAAGAACTCAACAGAAATGAGGCAGAGAAGGTTAGATGGTAGGAACAGCTTTTTTGGAGAAAACAAGACATCATAATAGCTAGTGCTGATTTAGTATCATCTTGTTTTGAAGTCCCATCAAGCTTTTGTTCTTCTGTCTCCATTGATCTTAACATGTTGTATCTTATTGGATTTTATTATGTGTGATAATATAAACAAAAACTTTTATAGACAAGGAGATTATGCAGAAACCATTGTTCATTTTCTGATAGTTGGTTCTAAATACCTTGTAATACTGTCATTCTCTTGAATGGTTTTACATTGTCTTGATATGTTTGGTGCTACAGTATATGAAGTTATACTCAGAGATTTCAAGGAAAGAGACACTATGGTAACTACTTTTATGTCGGGATTATCTTGTGGTAAAACACTATTTTGCTTAAATGGTTATGTTTTGACCTGTGCTGTTTTGTTGTTATGCCCTCTTTTATCTCAATCTCCTTTTTTTATTATTTACTTTTTCATTTTTATCCTTGTAAGGGAAAAATAAATAAAAAATAGCATGACATATTATAGTAACCCACTTTGATTTCCTATTAACTTGATTTGAAACTCTGTATTGCTCTCACCATTTTGTTTTGACTGATTTTCCTCTATTATCTGTTTTGCTTGATAGTACCAAGTTCGAAAGTATAGGCAACAACTGTGAAGACAATAAGATTCATTATGATGCCCATTCTGGTTGGCTTTTATCTTCTTTTGAAGTCCTGTAATGTCTCCAGTGTTTTGGTTTTATTCTTTACTGTTTTGTTCAATTTTATTATAACTGATGATACAGACAATTCTTTTTAAGATAGAAAGAGGCAGTATGGTAACCACTGTTGATCACCTTGTATTTTGCTTTTACATTATGTATTATGTCCATCCTTTTGATTTGACTGACTCTGTTCTGTTATGTCACATTTGGTTTTTCTCTCTTCAAAAAAAAGTAATAAGAACTGTGGGAGTAATAAAACCCAAAATGTGTAATGGTCATTGTACAAAAGAGAGGAAAAGAAAGTGCTCTAAAGGATATAACTGCATGTATATTTAAGTGTATAAGATAGACAACCATATTACTGAGTTTTGTTGGATCACTGAACAGAACTGTTTGCAATCTCACTGTTTGAAAGTCCACTTTATATGCTTTAATTTTGTAACTTGAACAACTATTTCTAAGATGACAATATGTAATCTATTAACTAGTGATTTCCTACTGTTTATTTTTTCTGAAATTCTGTATAACTTGTACCCTTTTTCTGTTTTTTTTCTTTTTCTCCTTAAGTAAAATTTAAAAAATAAATAAATATTTAAACATTAACCTATATTTCTTTTTTTTTTTTTGTCTTTTTCATTTTTATCAGTACTGGGGATCGAACTCACAACCACCTGCTTGCAAGGCAGGTGCTTATGGCCGCTGAGCTAAATCCCCAGCCTCTTCACCATATATTTCAATCACACTCATTGTCCATGAAATCTGTGAAGCCATTGGAATCAATTACATATGCCTGCACTTACTGACATGGAAGTATATCTGTGACACATAATTAAGGAAAAAACTGGGCTATGCTTTTTAAGCTTAAGGAGGTCTGGGAGTCTGGTGTGGTGGTACATACTTACAATCTCTCTTTACACAAATGAATTCCTCTTTTCTGTCTTTATGAGGTGTGATTTAAAAAAAAAGTACAGTGACTACTGATGCTGGGTGCCATCCAAAAGAAAGACAGCCTTGTAAAAATGTGAGAGGCCGGCTGTGGTGGTATACACCTTTAATCCCAGTTGGGAGATGAGACAGGAGGCTAGCCTAGACCACATAGCCCTGGTCTCAAAAACAAAACAAAACAAACCCCCAAAATGTGAGTGTTCTCCATCTATATACCAGATCTGGCACCATGCAACTTCTGACTCTTCCTCAAAGTCAAAATCATCACAAAAGGTAAACAAGGAAGCAACTGTGAAAACACCATTAAAGACCCTGGAGAAAGACAACCTCCAGAACTGCTTCAGACTGGCAAGAACCAGGGGATAACTGTTTGAAAGAAGGGGGGTTAATGGTAATGTGTGGCTCACTTTAACAAATCTAAAAATAAAAATAAATCTTTTTCCCCAATATTCACTGTATTTTTTGATCACATATCATATATCAAATGTATGTAACCTTTGGCGGCTGAATATTTAAATTGTTCCCATGTGACAGTGCATGTTTGGGTGTGTGTCTCCATCACATGAACTGACCATAATTTACTTAAAAGCTATTTTTGGATATGTTTTTTCTTCTTTTGTTTTTGCTATAATAAATAACAATACATTGGAAATCTTTGGGCATATGGCTTTCCCTATGTTTTGGATCATTTCCTGGGTCTAAAGGCAGGGACATTGAATAATTCTTGATTTGTATCACCAATATGCTTTCCCAAAAGGCCGGTGGTACTGATTCAGACCCTTCCAGCTTGTCCCACTGTGGAGACCTAGAGCTCTTCCCCAAGATGCTGACAGCAAAGGAGGGGCTTGGACGACCAGCAGGGATGAGGACGGGGACTGGAAGAGCACAGGGACAAGAGCAGAGGGGAGGCTAACATGGGGAGTGTGGGCAACGGAAGGAGAAGGCAATGCCCAGGAATGACCATTTTGCTTGGCAGTTTGGTTTTTATTTTTTCTCAACTGGAAAACTAATTGGTTTTTTTGTAAAGAACCCAGACTTTTTCGTACATGAGAATTTGCTATTGAAAAGTTGTCCTTTGATGTCACCCTCTGATTACAATTTAGACCTCATCTTTCAGGTTATTTCCTACACAAACACGATGGGATAACTTGTTTTTGTTTTTAAAGAAATCACTTCCTATTATTCTCAGAGACGTCTGTGTAGTAACTGTGCGGCGCATAGCCAGATTTTCATTTAAATAATCACAACTTAATGACAAGAAGTATCACCCCGTTTCAGCCACAAGGTTCGCCCAACCTCAGAGCAGCCTAGAGCCAGGTCTGCAGGCGCAGGCTTCCCAGCCAGAGACCCGGAGTGCTGACCGGACAGCGTGCAGCGGGGACAGCGAGCGGCTGGCCCCGGCTCTCTGGGACCTCGGCGGGCCACCCCTGCCCGAGCCCCCCGGAACCTCAGCGCCCAAGGAATGACCGTCCCCGCAAACCGTCACAACGGGAAACCAAACTCTCGCCTCGGGGCAGCACCCGCCGACGTCCCCGTCTTCTCCGCCTTTCCCGCAGGTGCAGCGACACCCTCGGTGGCAGCTCCCCGGAGCGCTGCTCGCTTTTCCTCAACCCGGCCGGGCGTCGCTGTCACGAGGCCCGCAAACTCGTGCCGCCTTGTCTGACGCAATCGCGACCTCTGCAGAACTCCCTGTTGCCCCGTGACTCAGTTTCCCCCTTTGCTCACGCGGGCCAGTGGCGTGAGGCACCTGCGCGGAATGCGGAGACGTCTCGCGGTGCGGTTGCAGGGATGGGAGACTCCGCCGGCGCCGGCGCCCTCCGCGCGCCTCGCCCGCCTGGCCCGGCCCGGTCCCAGCGCGTCGGGCGACGGACGCCGAGCGGAGCGCGCTGCCGAGTCCCTCGCCCCGGCGCCTCCAAAGCGGGCGGCTCGGGGAGGCCGCCTCCGGGCCAGGCCCGCTTCGCGCCCCAGCCGCCTGACGCAATCCACCGCCCCCTTGCTGCAGCCGCGCAGGGAAACCTCCGCCACCGTTGCATCACTCCTGCCAGGTCGCCCCCGGGGCGGGCCCAGCCAATCAGCGCGCGCGCTGCGCCCGGGGCGGGTCGCTCAGCCGCCCACTTAGAGCGCCGCGCGGTTAACCGAGAAGCACGATCCAAAGGTGATTGGCCAGAAGGAGGTCTGACCCGCCCCAACCATCGCAGCAGCTGGCCGCGGCGAGGCGGGGGTGCCTGGCCAGAGGGTTTAAAGGGCGCCTCAGCAGTGGCCACTCAGCTGGAGCAGCCGAGCGGTGCCAGGCCAGGTGTGCGTGTCCGTGGGTCCTTCCGCGCCCGCGTCGGAGACCAGCCTCGGAACCGCCCGGGCCGTCCCTGTGCCGGGCACCATGAAGCAGGACCCCGCGGCCCAGAACACCCCGCCCCCCTCGCCGTCTGCGGCACCGTCCACACAGCCTCCCGGGGAGGACGGCGACCCCCAAGCGCTGTGGATTTTCGGGTACGGCTCCCTGGTGTGGAGGCCCGACTTCGCCTACAGTGACAGCCGCGTGGGCTTCGTGCGGGGCTACAGCCGGCGTTTCTGGCAGGGAGACACCTTCCATCGGGGCAGCGACAAGATGGTGAGCACCCGACCGTGCCGGGGAGCCAGGTGGTGGGCAAAGTGATAGGGGCGTCCTGGGCTGCTGGGGAAATGTGTCCACCTGTGTCGGCTTGCGGTGTAAATGCGGGCGCTCAGGGAATAGCTGTGTAATCCCTGGAGCCAGAACCTGCGAGTTCCTGGTGTCTTCCCGTTCCTCTTATTAACCCCACATGGAACCCCTAAGGCCTGGAAGTCAGGGCCTTAAGGTGGTTTGTTTTTGTTTTTGAGACACGGTTTCACTATTCAGTTCAGGCTGGCTTTGAACTTACTTTGTAGCCCAGGCTGGTTTTGAACTCATAATGATCCTCCTGCCTCAGCCTCCTGAGTGCTAGGATTACAAGCATCAGCCACTGCCCTGTTCCTTGGGTGTTTGTTTGGTTGGTTTTGGAACCGGGAATTGATTGAACTCAAGACCTCGGGCTTGCCAGGCAGGTGTCTATGCCACTGAGCTAAATCCCCAACCCATTAAGGGTGTTCTTGCATTGCCAACCAATCTGATTTCTAACTTTTTTTTTTCCCCAAAAACCTGTCTTCTCTACTTAGCCTGGCCGTGTGGTGACTCTCCTAGAAGATCGTGAGGTAAGTGTGCGGGACAAGAAGGGGACTCTGGGCACAGCGAGGAGTGGTGTGGACAGGCAGAGCACTTGGGGCCCATGGCTGCAGGCTGGGTATGGTGTCTGGCTGGCAGAGAGGGAGCATGGTCTCCCCAGGGTGTGTCAGACACTCACCTGAGGAGCACAGACAGTTCAGCAGAGTTAGAGTAGGGCCCAGCATTTCTAACAAACTTCCCGATGATGTCACTATTTCCTTGTCAACCCTTAAGAAACAAGGAATAAGCTGGATGTGGTGGCATACACCTGTATTCTCAGAGGCCAAAGCAGGAGGATTGCAGTGAGTTCCAGGCCACCCTAGGCTACATAGTGAGTTCAAAGCCAGAAAGAACTGCATAGCAAGTAGTATGAACATGGAGAGACAGCTGGGTGTGCTTCCAGAAGCTAGCCCAGTACCTGGTCATTCGCTTCCTTTATAGACACAACCCCAGGGGGTGGCAGGGTTCTCTCACTGACCAGAGGTGTTTCTCTTCCCTCTCTAGGGCTGCACTTGGGGTGTGGCATACCAAGTTCGAGGAGAGCAGGTGAATGAGGCCCTGAAGTACCTCAATGTGCGGGAGGCAGTGCTTGGCGGCTATGACACCAAGGAGGTGACCTTCTACCCTCAGGATGCACCTGAGCAGCCCCTCAAGGCATTGGCCTATGTGGCCACCCCACAGAACCCTGCCTACCTGGGCCCTGCTCCAGAGGAGGCCATTGCTACCCAGATCCTGGCCTGCCGGGGATTTTCTGGCCACAACCTTGAGTATTTGCTGCGGCTTGCTGACTTCATGCAGCTCTGTGGGCCTCAGGCACAAGATGAGCATCTGGAAGCCATTGTGGATGCTGTGGGCTCCATGCTGCCATGTTTCTGCCCAGTTGAACAGGCTCTGGCGTTGGTCTGAGGGGTAGAGCCCCTGCAGGGAATGCACATGGAGACCCAGGGACAGAGGCCCAGCCAGTGCCTGAGACTGGGCATGACAGGCAGCTGGGGGCTCTTTTCTCTAAGCCCTGCCTATCCGCCAGCCTGCAGCTGTCCTGTGTGCCATTGACTTTCTACTTGAAACTTGATTTATTGCACCATGTTGGTGTGGTGGGCAGGGTTGGGGGGACCTGCCCTGAATATGGGCCCTGCTGTGCGGTGGCCCAGCCCAGACCTTTGGTGCCTGACCAGATCCCCCCAGTGCTGCTCCTAACTCTATGTCACCCAGACCTCCAGTTCCCCAGGGATCCTCCATGCACCTTCATCCTATGTTCACCTGGACTGGCCACTCCCTAGTCCTGGGAGAGCTCCCACCCAAGTGCTCATCCTGCTGTGTGAGGGGCAGGAGCCAGGAGGGGGCCCCACAAAGGCTGAGGTCTGCTCATGCACTGGAAGCCTGGGGCACAGGTGGATCTGCTGCCTTGACACACTTCAAGTCAGGCCTGGGCTTTTTACCTTTGTGGGTTTGTTTCCCTGTCTGTCTGTTGATTGCTGTCTGTCTGTCTGCTTGTCTGGGCCACTACTGTGTATCTTGTTCTATTCCTGGTACGCTCATCATACAGGCCTTGCCCTTTCCCAGCCTGTCCCACACATTTACCCATAAACTGATCTCATCATCCATGCTGTGCTGGAATGTGATTCTTTCTGTACACAGGGCTTGGCTTCAGCAGGGAGTAAGCTCAGGAAGGCTCCTGGGCAGGGAAAGGGCTCCCTTTGCCCCCCTACCTTTCTCAAGGAGGGCCAGCTGAGCAGGCAGGACCACCAGTTCCATCATTCCCAGGGACACAGTCGAGATTACTAGTGGCAATCCCATGGCACGAGTGCCACAGTGGGCACGCAGAACCCTCTGTCAGCACTTAAGCCAGAGCACTCCAGCAATGCCCCAGCAGCCAAGCATTCAGGCTTAATTGCAGTATTGGTACTTCTGATAAATGAGTGAGTTTTTGGTTGCAGTTTGGATACTCAGTCACTAAAATGTTCACCATCCCTGATGTAGATCCAAGTACATGCAGATAATGTCACCAACTTGCACAGAATTTAGTCATGCAGCTGAACTTGGCAACCCTCTTAGAGCTTTCGACCCTGACCTGGGACATGACCTGGGAGCCTGTATCTCACCTTCCCCATCTGGCTGTGGAGGCTGGCAGGCTGAGGCGGCTAAGGCCACATTTTCCTGGATGACCAGCTGTGGCCTTTTCCTGACGGTGAGGTCAAACTCTTGGCTTCCTGTTCAAGGCACTTGTATAAGCAGGACACAATGGCACACACTTGTAGTCCCAGTACTTGGGAGGCCGAGGCAAGAGGATCAGTGTGAGTTCAAGGCCAGCCTGAACTACATAGCAAGAACCTGCCATAAATAAGCAAACAAATATATAAATTTAAAAAGGAACATGTGCGTTAGGGTATGATGATGACATCTGGGGCAGTGCTGACACCAGGTGCTTTGGCCTGGAAGACCAGATGCTGCTTTCACTGCCAAGGGCTGCAGTGCTGTCTGTCCCTTGTCTTGCCGGGACTCACCATAATACATTGAGTTGCCAAGGTGGCCTCTGGCTTGCTGCTGGTTTACCCCCTGCCTGTTGGTGGATTTTTCTCCTGTGTTGGCCCAGGGCTCCTGAACCCTGAATAACTGGCCTTTTGAGCCACTCCTGCACCTGCAGGATGGTCACAGGGCTGAGATGACAGGCTTCAGATTCAGCAGAAGAGTCTGAATCCCACCAGGTCCTTCCCTCTCTGTTCAGCTGCCTGAGCATCATTCAGCCTGTGGTATGATGGGTGCTGCTGCTCTTGTGACCTGGATTGGTCTTGGTGTCCCCAGCAGGTCAGCTCTGATGAGACTAGGCAGACACTGTGCCCAGGGAGGCTGGCATGCTGATCAGTGTCTTGGCAACTTGTGTCTTGGCCACAGTTGGAAAATGTGTGGAGTCCAGCCAGGTTCTGGGAACTGAGTCAGAGCAACACAGCAGGCAGAGGCAGAGGTGGTAGGGAACCCTGGGAAGCAACCCCCAGGCCTCCTATGCCCAGCAAAGCCTTGCTATAGACTGGAAGCCCCGTGGAGAAGGGAGGACTGCCTGATAGCTGCATACTGGGTCAGCCACTGTTCTGGGCCCTGGGGACCCAGCAGTGAGAGGAACCTTTCTCCCTGTGGAATGAGGTGGGCACCAGGCAGGAATGTGAGCACAGGGAAAAGGCCTGCCCTGGTGAGTGGGTGGGCAGAGATGACTTCCTGGGACGAGGCCCTGAGAGGGGCCTCCTTGAGCAGGGAGTCAGGACGGCCTGTGTCCGAAGGTCAGACAGCCTGACAACTTCTTCAGGAGGGGACACAAGGCTGAAAAGGTGGCAAGACCTAGGCCTGGCTGGCCTGGGGTTTCTTGGATCAGTGGGGGCCTCAGGGCACAGCAGGTGCTGTGTCCAGCTGCAGGAGAAAGGCCTACAGGCGTGGCGGGGGGGGGGTGGATTGAGAGCAGGGCAGGCGTGAGGCTGACGGGACCTGGTCACCTGCTGGTTGAACAGAGCAAGAGAGAACTAGCTCAAACTCAGGGTCAGTTTCTCCCGTTACACTCTCACAACACAAACCATTTCTGACCCCAAATGTGTCGTCCCGCAACCAGGGAAACCAGCAAGCAAATCTGCAGCAGTGTCCCCAGCCCCAGAGAGCACCAGGTTCACAGGCAGGAGCTCAGCCCCAATGACACCACTTCCGTGCCAGTCGAGAGCCCTAGTTGGTCTTACCTGAGGTACCCACAGTGCCCTCGCAGGTCTCAGGGAATGCTTGCACTTACCGGTTTCCTATCCAGGATGCAGAGGACAGAGGTACAGTTTGGGGTACAGAGGGGTGCAGCGCCACCCTCCAGGAGTTGTTGTGTGAAGAGTTCATGACACGCTGTGACCCGGCAAGGCTTGGCTGGGCACGTCAGCATCTCTTCCTTGCAAGTGTGGGCAGGATCCCTTGTGAAATGGTGCACAGAGAATGTAAGATTAGAGTTTCTGTGCTGCTCAGGAAGGGAACTGCAGGCCAGAAAGCTATGAGGCAGGGCCCGATCCAGTGGGAATGTGGCTTCCAGCAGGTAAGAGTGCAGAGGTCTCATGGCCTTTTATAAAAAAAAAATTGTCCAGGACCTCAAGAGCTTTTGTCTGTGGGGGATATAGCCACCCATATTTATTGCATTGGAAATTGAAACTGAGACACTGAAACCATGTTCACTAAAATTAAAATCAAGGGCAGGTATAGTGGTGCACTCCTGTAGTTCGGTACTTTGGAGGCTGAGGCAGGATTGTAAGTCTGAAGCCAGCCTGGACTTCGTGGTGAGATCCTGTCTCAGAAATCGCAAATAAATAACATTAAAACAAGACCGTAGGTCTAGTTTGGTGGTAGAGTATGTGTTTAGCATGTATGAAGTCCTGAGTTTGAACTTTACCATCAAAACTAAGTAAATAAAAGCAATAAGCCGGTTAAGTGTTAATTTTTTTTTTTTTTTGAGATGACGTATTGCTGTGTGCTTCGGGCTGCTTCTAAGTGGCTCAGACTCTAGGCTTGCGATACTGTCACCAACACTTGTTAGGGTGTTTTTTTGTGTTTGTTTTTGTTTTTTGGTGTTACTGGGGACTGAACTCAGGGCCTTGTGTGTGCTAGGCAAGCAGTCTATCATTGAGCCACATCCCCAGCTTTTCTTGATGTATCTTTAAAGAAAAATGATTGTATCTTCCAAAATGGATTTAGTAAAAATATTTTCTATTTTTAGTGCCTGAGGTTTGTGTTTTGTTTGTTCTTCTTTGCAGTATAAGTCCCTGAGTACACATGAGTTCTGTTTCAAGAGAATGTTGGTAAGTCAGGTTCATTCATAAGTCTGACAAAGTGAGTCTTATATATCTTTGACACAAATATTCACTGTCTATGGCTTTGTGCTTGCTAGCTGTCCCCTCCATGTCACCATTTTTCGTCTTGCTTCAGACACCCTGGGCTCTGATTGAGCTCTGTGCTACTGTCCACTCTCGCGCTGCACAGAAAGCACCCAGCAGCACAACTGTGACAATGCCTGGCACACACACGAGCTACTTCTGAGATTTGTTCTCGTCTATAAATGTTTGTAATGCAAGGTCTTTGAAAGTCTGCAACTCAAATGTTTGTAAATTGGAGACTTACTGTACTGGAAATTGAACCCAGGACTGAACCCAGGACATTTACACCCAACTACTTTCCTAAAACATATTTTTAAAATCAGGTCTCATTAAAGTCATTAAAATTGCCAAGTCTGGACTCAAACTTTCAATCTTCCTGCTTCAGCCTCCCAGAGTGTTGAGATTACAAACTTGAGTCACTGAGCCTGGCTTTAACACCTGATGTAATAGAACCTGGTGGATTCTAATCTTCTGCATTTGCTGCTTTGCAAATTCATACATCACGTAGTCTGTGAAAAACTCCACTGTGCACCCCTGAGGAAATGGGAGAGGAAAGCCGGAACAGTTTCTCGGTGTTGTTACGAATATAGTTTTGAGGTCAGATACTCAGGGAGGGGGTTTTGGGAACCCTCCGGGACCTTGGACCATACTTGAAAACTTATAGTGTAGCATTCACTAAATTGTTTTTCTATTTTCTTTTGGTTGGAGGGAACTTGAGCAGAGTGAAGGGTAGGCAACCAGCCTTGGCAGCAGCATGAAGGTGTCTGAGAGTTGGCAGGAAGCCTGAGAAACCATCCTGTCCCTTCTTCTGGAGCATCATCCTGGAGAACCAGCGGACAGGGGAGCAGGACCGCCGATTCCAGAGCCATCCGCTGAATCTGCAGTAGGCCCGAGACCCGTTGACCTCCTGTAAGACAAACATGGACCAGGTCACACCTGGAGCGCAGGGGACTGGCAAAGCTGCCCTCCAGGCAACAGGGAAGGAAAAGGCAGCCGCTGGAAGCCTGGGGTACAGGGCAGAGGCCAGGAGCTACCTTGGGGTAGAGGCAGAAGAGGTGTGGAAGTGTTGGACATTCTTTTTTCTTTGTGTGTGTATGTGGAGACATTTCTTTCTTTCAGTCCATTTCGTTTCCAAGAAAAAAAGAAACAACAAAATTTCAAAACACGTCAATCAAGGTGGGGAATTGTACATACACTGCACAGTCTTCCTCAGACCTCACCCAGGGCACAGGACATCTGCATTCCATCGGGACATTCTTTTGTAGGGAAGTTGAGTTTTGTGGTGATGTTTTTGTTGCTTCATGTTTTTCCTCCTACAGAAGGAGCTTTAGTTTGTTTTTGTTTTTTGATTGTTTTGTCTTTTTTTTTGTTGTGTTTTGAGTAGGACAATTTATTGGAGAAAAGGAATGGGGGCTAGGAATTGCTCCTGAGAGACAGACAGGAGGGGTCCCAAATGTGTTGCCCTTCTTTTAAGGTTTTTTGAGACAGGGTCTCACTATGTAGAACAGGCTGCTCTTGAACTGGCAATAGAGCCCAGACTGGCCTCAACCTCCCGGTGATCATCCTGCTGCAGCTCCCCAAATGTTGGGATTACACGCTGTGCCACCACACATGACTGTTTTGTCTTCTTTAAAGCGAGCTGGTGTGAGAGATGCATTCAGGCCTGGATTTGAGGACATTTGAGGCAAAGAAGGATGGGCTGTAAATTACAAGAGCTGGTG